ACGAAAACGAGCAAAAGCTACAGTCCCAACGGAACAAAGAATGTCGATTGTTACTGGACGATGACGAGACCAGTACGATATTTGACAAAGCGGTCTAACTACAATTCGAAGCAGCAAAGCAGCACACCACCCAACTTGGGTGGGTCATAAATATCAAAGATAAGTAAAGAAAGGGGAAGCTTTGCGAAAACGAATTGTACAAGCCGGAAGCCAAACTCCTACCGTACTCCTTATGCATGACATTGTGATGGACTAGTTGACTACAAAACAAGTTGTTTCACACGACGTACGTTTTGCCATATGGTTCGTGACGGCTCATCAGGTGTGCAATTTGAAACTCGGATGTTGAGCCATAAATAAATGTAGAAAAGAAAAGGACATATCCATATTTCCTTTTCTTTTCTACATTTATTTATGGCCCAACATCCGAGTTTCAAATAATAATAATAATAATAATTTGAAACTCGGATGTTGAGCCATAAATAAATGTAGAAAGGAAAAAGACATTATGGATACGAGTTAAGAGTAAACGTACGTCGAGTGAAACAACTTGTTTTGTAGTCAACTAGTCCATCACAATGTAGCGCTAACCGACAGCCTTCCAACTTGGAAGGTTCAAGTTTCTTTTCTAAATTTATTTATGGCTCAACATCCGAGTTTCAAATAATAATAATAATTTAAATTTATACAAAAGAGAACGATCAAGGAACTACAAGTTACGCTATACTGTCCACTAACACCACCAGTTACTAAACAATTAGCTCATGCGATAACATTGCACGACACTGACCGACGGTACTGACGTTCTACAACTAACTGAGTAACAGCTCTAGCACATCTTGGGTGCGCACTCCAACAGCCTTCCAACTTGGGAGGCTCTAGGTTATAGAAATAACATAAGGAGGGGAAGGTGAGCTCAACCAAGATAAGCACGAGCTGAAAGTCTCAGCTGTGAAGGACGTTGGCGGATGTTCATGCATGTCGATGACGATACTGGCAAGACCATTGGACAATACAGTCAAACCACGATTCTAGAACGCAAAGCAACATTCCACACAACTTGTGTGGCTGAAAAGATGCGAAGATCAATAAAAGGGGAAGCTATGCGAAATGATAATAATTTCTCGAACGTAGGATGCGCGAGAATCTGCGCAGAAGACGAGTTTAGAAATGAAGCATGCCTGAAATGCCAAAACCTGCCGCTTTTTCTGACGGCGTTATCCGTCAAGCGGGATATACAGCATTCACTATTAAAGGGGAAGTTAAGGCAAAAATTAAAATTTCACCGGTTGTAGTCTTCGGGGTGCTGAGTCGAATGGTCGTGGTCCGAGGAAGCTGAGACGCTCCCTTCCTACTTGAATCCCAATCGAACTCGCGCACTTCCACCGAAACTGGGTGACTGCGCCCTACTAGATGGGGATTTGTATGCAAAATGTCACTAAAAGCGCCATTTCGTTCTTAAAAAAGCACGGATGACCGCGATTGGCCCATATGTTGTAGTCTTTTGGACGCTCAGTCGACTGGTTTTGGTCCGAAAAGGCTGCGATGCAGCGTTCCTCCTTTATTCCCAATCGAACATGGTTGAAGAAGCGGTCACGTGGTCCTGGGTGCCCAAATCACCTGGTCACCACGCCAGCAGGTGACAACTTTCACACCAAGGTTCAACTCGAGTTCAACTCGAGTGACAGGACTGCACCCAAAAAAGGTCAAACAGGCTAGTAAGTTGTACCCTGCAGGCACGGTGACCAGGTGACTGGTGTACGCAGGAGCACGTGACCGCTTCTTCAACCATGTTCGATTGGGAATAAAGGAGGAACGCCGCATCGCAGCCTTTTCGGACCAAAACCAGTCGACTGAGCGTCCAAAAGACTACAACATATGGGCCAATCGCGGTCATCCGTGCTTTTATAAGAACGAAATGGCGCTTTTAGTGACATTTTGCATACAAATCCCCATCTAGTAGGGCGCAGTCACCCAGTTTCGGTGGAAGTGCGCGAGTTCGATTGGGATTCAAGTAGGAAGGGAGCGTCTCAGCTTCCTCGGACCACGACCATTCGACTCAGCACCCCGAAGACTACAACTGGTGAAATTTTAATTTTTGCCTTAACTTCCCCTTTAATAATTATGACGTCGCGGGTGCACATGCATTTTTTAGATTCTGGAGATCGGCTCGCGCGAGGCTCCATTAAAGGGGAAGTTAAGGCAAAAATTAAAATTTCACCAGTTGTAGTCTTCGGGGTGCTGAGTCGAATGGTCTTGGTCCGAGGAAGCTGAGACGCTCCCTTCCTACTTGAATCCCAATCGAACTCGCGCACTTCCACCGAAACTGGGTGACTGCGCCCTACTAGATAGGGATTTGTATGCAAAATGTCACTAAAAGCGCCATTTCGTTCTTATAAAAGCAAGGATGACCGCGATTGGCCCATATGTTGTAGTCTTTTGGACGCCGAGTCGACTGGTTTTGGTCCGAAAAGGCTGCGATGCAGCGTTCCTCCTTTATTCCCAATCGAACATGGTTGAAGAAGCGGTCACGTGGTCCTGGGTGCCCAAATCACCTGGTCACCACGCCAGCAGGTGACAACTTTCACACCAAGGTTCAACTCGAGTTCAACTCGAGTGACAGGACTGCACCCAAAAAAGGTCAAACAGGCTAGTAAGTTGTACCCTGCAGGCACGGTGACCAGGTGACTGGTGTACGCAGGAGCACGTGACCACTTCTTCAACCATGTTCGATTGGGAATAAAGGAGGAACGCCGCATCGCAGCCTTTTCGGACCAAAACCAGTCGACTCAGCGTCCAAAAGACTACAACATATGGGCCAATCGCGGTCATCCGTGCTTTTATAAGAACGAAATGGCGCTTTTAGTGACATTTTGCATACAAATCCCCATCTAGTAGGGCGCAGTCACCCAGTTTCGGTGGAAGTGCGCGAGTTCGATTGGGATTCAAGTAGGAAGGGAGCGTCTCAGCTTCCTCGGACCACGACCATTCGACTCAGCACCCCGAAGACTACAACTGGTGAAATTTTAATTTTTGCCTTAACTTCCCCTTTAAGACTTTCTATTCTTTTGTACTTTTTTTTTTTTTACTATGTTCACACTCCCAGCTCGAAAATAATAAAGAAAGACAATGATACTGAGACTAGGACGAACGTGACAACTATTGAGCAGGGGCTGCACCGAGACGCAGCAGTGATGGTGGGGCATTGATGGCTCTGCCGACCTGAGGTCTCGGCATCACGGCCAAAAACACGCACCAAAAACAAAAGATAGAGCTGTACGAGTCAGCAAAATGAAAAGAAAGGAAGGGTTAACATCAGCGAGTGTGCGGGAGAAACTGTGAGACTATTAACAAATTACAAGGGCTGTTACTGAGAGGAGCATCATCATGGCTGATCATGGCGAGTCGGTTGTCTGAGCCAGTTGTGGTGCATAGATAGGGATAGAGGAGAACGACGAGAGCATCATCATAGCGAGTCGACTGCCCAGAGCCAGTTTGTGCTTCGCAGATGGCGATAAACATTAGTTTTGAATGCTTGCATTCCCTTGCTGTGGGGAGGCTGGGACAGAAGAGCGGCGGGGAGGGAGTTCCAGTCACTAATACCATGAATACTGCAGTGTGGGAACGAGCGCTTTAATGCCAGCGGGACAGATGCAAGCAGCTGGTGTTGGAGCTGGTGGTCATGGCCAATGACGCTACCATGCTCGCACTAATGTACTGTATCCTGTCTCTGGCGTACTAGTACTCGCCTCCTCTCAGTGCAGTAGCATTCGTTCTCCTTTCCCCTCTTCGTCTTCCATGTACCGGTATGTACGAGAAAGCTCTTCGATAGACTCTCACAGTACAGCACGACTGTATTTGGACATTCAACAGCCATAAAAAAACAACAGGGCTACACAGTACAGTGCAGTAGTCAGCCCCCGGCCCGGGGCAGCGAGTACACAATAGGGTTCCTCTCTCGACAGAGTTCAAACTCCAGTCCAAAGGTCACGATGCTAGACGGTGCCTGTACGTACAAAGGCTGCTATTATGCTACCTCGGGGCACGACACGGGAGGTGTTCTCGCAACGTATCGCGCCGGAGCCCCGGAGGGATCCCTTTTCGAGTGCGCTGCGTGGTTGGAGCCGAAGTCTGCACGATCGGCGCGGTGCATGCGCGAGAAAACTCGTACAAATAGCTCTCTGGCCTCTGGGACGCCCTCCGGGGTCCAAAACGGACGTCAATAAGTCCTGCTTCGGCACCTTGTACTCTGGGGCCATGGGGTGCAGCGTCGAGCATCGCAAACAGGCGACACACCGCGCCGGATCCCCGAAGGGATCCCTTTTCGAGTGCGCTGCGTGGTTGGAGCCGAAGCCTGCACGATCGGGGCGGTGCATGCGCGAGAAAACTTGTACAAATAGCTTAGGCTACTGAGTCTAGGACGCCCTCCGGAGCTCCGGGGTCCAAAACGGACGTCAATAAGTCCTGCTTCGGCACCTTGTACTCTGGGGTGCAGCGTCGAGCAATACTGACAGGCGACATACCGTGCAGCTTTTTCATCGGAGCGTTTTTGATCGATGCCAGCGAAGCTGTTTCTCCACATTCCCACTGCACACAACCATGACAAGTAACGTACAGTCGGATTTCAGAACAGCAATACTTCAATAGAATAAGATGATGATCGTCACGGGAGGATGATGGCATAGTCTCGATAGGAACCCCGTTGCCCTCACAATTATTTCTCCGACCATCGGCGACTGGGGGCCAAAGAAGGCCCCGATTAGTGATACAACCGCTGCGTGTTGTTGCGTCCAAGGCACTAAAACGGATGCTGTAGTCCTACATCGGCCCGAAAAGGACAGTGCGTAGTCACGAGGACACACTAGTGTCACCGTTCGCACCGTACAGAATCCAACTCGGCTCCGACTCGGAAACTCTTTGGCAGGCGCGATCGATGCCCACCGGAAATAGAAGTGTTGTTTATTCTTATCTAGCATCCAGCTGTCGGTGTGGCACTTCAGAACACCAGTAGGTAGTTGTCTGGTTGTTTGAAGGTAGTGCGTTGCAAGGCACCTTTTTTGTTGTGATCCGCCCGAGAGAATAGTGACAACTCGACCAGGAAGCGATAGGGATTTCTCACGACACGTACCGCAGGAAGAGTGAGCGAAGGTGAAGAAAGGCTCGACCGAGAGTTCAGCGCTTGACGATTCGCCAACAAGGTATGGAAGCAGAAACCCTAGGGCGAAGCTATTAGAAAACCCATCACAGTTTGCGGGTGGAGACAGAAAACTAGTACCAGCGTATCATAATAATTTTAGTAAATTCAAAAATGAATTGGCACTGAGCGGGGGGGGGGGGGGGGGGGGGATGGCTGGTGGTGTGTGAGAGGCTGAGCAGGAAACGTTGTTGACTCAGCCGCGGACAGGTTAAGGTGGACCAGCCCAGTCAAAGCGTGAGTTCAACGACGGTTCCATTCCTAGGGTGTGCGAGTTCTCTTACCTTCCCTAGCGTGAGTATCAGAGGTTAATTAAGCTTCACGTTATTTGTTTTTGACTTGACACACAATTTCATGTGAAATGGGTCATCGACTGGCATAAAACGCCAAATTTCGGTGTGAGATGCAGCGCTCTCGCGTTGTTTTCCAACACGCGAGCCAAAGAACGCAAGCGGAACTTTCGCGTCACATCGAAAATAACGTGCAGCTTAGCCTCTCTACAATAGGCCTACAATGTAGTGGACACGCAGGATCTGTCTGATTGCAGGTAGTGATTTCCGTGTGAAGACTGGACTGATCGAGGCACGGAGTCGTGTGCACCCGCCAACAACGTAATACCGCTGTGCTTCCTGCTCGCGTCACGACTACCGTTAACCACGCCTCGCTTGTCACCGCACGTCAGACAATCCCCGGGATCATTTTAAAAGAGAGCATGCGCGACCTGTACATAGGCTCTTTAAATATCAGAAGGGAAATTACCTCGCGAAAAAAAAACCCAGGATAGTGTAATGACAGCAAACCCTGTCAGAGAGAGTCAACTGTCTATGCAACTAATTATATCGGCGTATCTGACAAACACGCACAATAAACTCTGTATCGTAACAACGCACTCGTAAATGATGTTATCACAATGGCAAACGACACTCATTCTATTTCAGTGATGGTATGCTCTGACAGGTGACGGGTACGTCAGCATATCATTAGAGGATGGTGAAAGCCCGCAGAAAGTGCCAGGCATTATTCATTGCACTGCAGCAAATGATGCAGAATAATCGCTTTTCCGCCCGCGGAAATTAGAATGTTCGTCCGCGCTTCCAAGCGAACAGCAAAATGGATGTCCCATGGACGCTTGCATGTACTTTGCACTGTAGCACACTCTATCCTTCGGCGCCAAAACCTGAAATCCTGGAGAGACGTGCCTGCACTCGCCTACACTGGCAACAGCATTGTGCTCGAGTAGATCACACATCCGCTTTTCCGCTGTTTGTAGTTACGTAACGATGACACTCTTGCGAAACAACAGGATAAGGGTAATCCTGAAATACAGGTGATTATTATAGCTGACCAGCTGGAGATTTATGCCCAAAACCAGGGTATGGGGTAGCCTCCAGTGCCACAAAGGGCACCCGGTCCATAGGTTTGAGATCAGAGGTGCGCACTCTCGGGGTCGTGTACTCTTGCTGTCTAATGTACTGTACCAGCCATAGCATACAAGAGGTCTTACAAATAAGGAACGGGGCGTGCACCGGCCAGATTGGAGTTCGTACGTGATTGATACGGTCCGTCACCCGAGCCAAATATGAAACAGAGGCCATGGTGTGGTGGCACTTCGGTACGCTTTAGCCTGCGACTTGCGATCGTGTGTGACGTCTTGCCTACACGACTATATTGAAACGGTATGTCTCAAACCTAAAACTGGGTGGTGGGGCATAATCGGGTGTGACTTATAATCGGGGAAATACGGTACCTTCCGTGGAGAGTTGTGGGTCTCGCCGACTTGGCTAGTTTGCCCGTAACTATAGGCAGCAGGGGCGCTCTCCCAGCACTTCACATAACACAGTACAGGGGGTGACAGCGATACAATGCAGACTCGTTGCGCCGTACCAAGTATGACACAAGAAGATGTGCATTTTTGCTGAACTCTGAAGCTGTTAGATAATTTGAAAGAAAAAAACGTGCGCTTAGCCTCAAGCTCATTCATGATGACTGTTACATTCATCATCTGTGTGTGTGTGTGTGTGTGTGTTGGTGTGTGTGTGTTTGTATGTGTGTGTGTGTGTGTGTGTTTGTTTGTGTGTATGTGTGTGTTTGTGTGTGTGTTTGTGCATGTGCATGTGTGTGTGTGCATACATGTGTGTGCCTGTTTGCCTGTGTGCATGTGTGTGTGCCTGTGTGTGTGTGTGTGTGTGTGTGTGTGTGTGTGCCTGTGTGCGTGTGTGCGTGTGTGTGTGTGTGTGTGTGTGTGTGTGTGTGTGTGTGTGTGTGTGTGTGTGTGTGCATGCGGGAGAGGTCTTCAGTTTTTTCTTGACATAAAAGCAAGAACCTTTGGCACTTTTGCGTGAAAGGCAATACAATGTTATCCGGTGGAAAAATAATAATTTCTGATTTTTCTCTCTCTTTTTCCCTTCCTGTTCTTCATGTTTCTAGATATTGTGCAGAGCGCGAAGACAGCACTGCAAGCGTCGCTGCGAGAGAGAGAAACAGAGGAGTCAATCTTGTTCACACCCAGCCCGCACATCTCCCTGCCCCCATTAAGCACCGCAGCTGTTCCTCACCTGTCAACCATGTCATCAGTAGACATGAGGCCCCCACCCACGCATCACCACCAGCAGCAACAGCAGCGGCAACAGCTGCAGCATCGTCAGCAGCCACACCATTACCAGCAGCAGCAGCAGCAGCACCAGGCGTATGCGTACACGACCCATGACATGTACACTCAGGGCGGCAACGGTAGCCAAGGTAACGGCAACCAAGGTAACAACATGGCCGCCGGGCACTACGCGTCTCAGCCGGCGCAAATCAAGCCCAGGACCAGCGTGGTGGCGGGAGCGGACTCGCCCACGAAGTCGGCGTTCTATCAGCCGATGGCGTCTGGCGACGTGCCGGTTTGCATCCTTCTAGTGCCGTACGGTGCGGGTGCAGCCGGAACGCAATCGCCGTCCGCGGGCGTGCAGCCCCAGTACATGCCACACCCGTACACTCAGACCGGTGACAGCCGTCTGCCGGGCGTCGCCGGCGATGCCAGCAACGGCGGTCGCGTCGCCACCCTCTCGGACATCAAGCTGAGCTACGCGCCCTCTTCCGGCTCCTTATCCTCTGCCTCGTCCTCTTCCTCTTCATCCTCCTGCTCTGTGGCAGCCAGTCGCAGGGTGGTGAAGGAAGCGCTGGATCTAAGCAACAACCATGACATGATAACCATGACGAGCAACATGGCAGCCATGTCAAGCAACGCTCGTCACTGCACCTTAAAACAGCTGCTCAGCATGCCGAGCGCAGTTCGGCCAGTGTTGCCGCAGCAGCAGCAGCAGCAGCGGTATCCCATGCAGGCGATGTTCCCGCCGGCGACGTCGTCCGCCAACTCGCCGAACGTTTCGCCGCACGCCTCGCCGCGTTCGTCGTACGCGACAAGCTGTTCGTCGTCGCCCGCTTCGACGCCGTCCTCCACTGCCGCCTCGCCGTCACCGCTGGTGTTGGTCGGCGACTCGTCATCATCCCCGGCGCTGTCCTCGTTACAGTCCACCGCCGAGGACTCTCATTCGCCATCGCCGCTCAACGAGTCCCCGATCATCGTCGTGGACTCGCCGGGGAGCCCAGCACCGGTGGATGGTCCTGTGGGCGGCGGCGAGCAGCAGCCGCCGTCCGATGCACCCTGCACGCGTGACACCGCGCCCGCAGGTGGCGGCCCCGCGGAGTCGCGGCCCAGCGCGTTCCGCCCGATCAAGAACTGGAACGGGCGTTCTGCGACGCGAAAGCGCCACCCACCCGCCGGCTTCTACCACCTGAGCGCACGGCAGCAGCGCTTGTTCGGCCAGAAAGGCAAGCAGCAGCAGAATAGCACTCCGGCAAGCAGCATGACCAGCAGCAGTGGCAGCAGCACAACCATCGGCAACACCACCACCACCACCACCACTAGCAGCAGTCGTAGCCAGTGCAAGACCTTCGAGCACTATGGTGCCTTCAGGCCCGTGTCGAAGGCCGGCGCGAAAAGCAAAGCCAGCCCTCCGCTGCCCACTGGCGCCACTGTCACTGCAGCAGCAGCCGCAGCAGCAGCAGCATCAGGCGCGCCGCCCAAAGCAGCTAACCTGCCGTGCGCAACACCGCCACCAGTGTACTCTTCTTGCCAGTCGGCGGCGGCCAGCAAGAGCCCCGTCCGTTCTGACCAACCCAGTGGTGGCAGTAGAGGCGTGCGCCGTGAGAAGCTCCTACTGCAAGTCCTGCTAGAGCGGTCATGCTCTAGCTAAGCCTTGCCGTGCTTGCACGCCAGCAAGCCAGTAGTAGATCTTTGCAGTGTCGCAACTAACTTAGCACCGCTCCTTTCCTTTTTGGAGCCCATCTGGTATTACGTGATATTCATATGTCAGAATAACAAATTAACAATTATTTATTTTGTATTTGTGCGCCATATCCGCGCTATCCCCCTCCTTCTCTTTCTCCAAGTTTCTCTCCCCCCCCCCCCCCCTCCTCTTTTCAGTCTCTTCCCCTGCCTCCCTCCCTTATATTCTCGACTGATATCTTCTAGCTTATTTAGATAGAATTGTTTATCTCTAAGTATCTGGATTTCAGGTCTTGAGTATTTATCTTAGATTAGTCTCTCAACGATATTTTCACTGAACGAAGAAAGTACCTCGCCATGCAGGCTGTGGGTTTATTGTTTCCAATTCAAAAACTGTTTTCAACTTTTCACCCTTCACAATTCACGCTCCTCATCCGATTCATGCTTGAAAATGTTCTTTTCGTTTTTCTTCAAAAGACCACATTGCAGTAGTAATTTTCTCACTAGTCAGTGGCTTGGCAAAGACCAATGCTCTCTTCACGATCCCGTTGATGTTGATGATGCTCTTACATCCAGCGGTACAAGCTTATGTGTGTAGTATTTGTGATGCTGCTGCTGCTGGTTGTTGTACTACTGTAAGCGCTTCTGCTTCTGCCGTCATGATGATGATGTTGTTGTTGCTGCTGCTGCTGCTGCTGCTGCTGTTGTTGTTGCTGTTGTTGTTGTTGTTGTTGTTGTTGTTGTTGTTGTTGTTGTTGTTGTTGTTGTTGTTGTTGTTGTTGTTGCTGTTGCTGTTGTTGCTGTTGCTGTTGCTGTTGTTGTTGTTGCTGTTGCTGTTGTTGTTGGTGTTGTTGTTGTTGTTGTTGTTGTTGTTGTTGTTGTTGTTGTTGTTGTTGTTGTTGTTGTTGTTGTTGTTGTTGTTGTTGTTGTTGTTGTTGTTGCTGTTGTTGAGGCTGTTGCTGCAGTTAGTGATGGTGGTGGTGGTGGTGGTGCTGTGGTTGCACAGCTGTGCTGCTGGTGGTGGTGCTGTGGTTGCACGGCTGTGCTGCTGGTGGTGGCAGCGGCGGTAGCGGAATGGTGACTACAGAACATGTAAACAAGTGGTAGGCAGCATTAAAACGCAACACAAATGAATCTCAATTAAATGTTGTGATCCAATGCCTAAATGCGGCCAAGCGCACGCTGTGAAGGGAACGCCCATTGCAGATTTCTCAAACGGGCTGCAAGATGGTCGGCTTTACATGATGTACCTGTGTCGGCTGCAGAAGTCTTACAGCCAGAGTTCTCCTCAGCACACTGTGCTAACAAGCGTCCGTAATCCCCCAGAGTGCGCAACCGGGATGGGGTTGAGGGACGGCGTAATCCGCGATATACGTCATTGTCTGGGATCGGACTTGCGTCATTCCGTCAACGCGGTCCAAAAATTCCGAGACCCTTAACTGTCCCTCCAGGAAATCGCGATTCCACGGATGCAATAAATTTCGCGATATTAGCCCAAACCCGCGATTTTCAGCAAAATCCGCGATTTCCCGCGTTTTTTGTTGTTTTCTGCACTATATCTCACATTTTTATGCACTTTTCACACAGTTCTTTCCATGGTCCTGTAGGTTCCCGAGTAGATATACGATGCAAGAAATTTCGTGATTTGGCCAAATCCGCAATTTTCTGCAAATAATTCCGCGAATTCCTGGCAAGTTCTGCATCATCCCGCACTTTTCGTTGCATTTTTTTGTTACTTTCTGCCGCAATTTCTTGCGCAAGTTTTCGAGAGTTTTTTTCCGCAAATTCCCGCAGGGACAGCCTTAAACATGCTTCCCTACCTGCTCATGGCGTCACAATTATGACGTGCAACACGGATTTCGCCGTCCCAGATCTGATCAGTAAAGTTGCGCACTCTGGGGGATTATGGCCTCTTGGTACTACCAAGAGTACATACCCCCCCCCCAGAGTGTGCAACTCCCACATACCCTGTTGTCCCGACAGAATTTCAAGTTGACGTCATTATTTATGACGCAATGCTCCTTGCAGCAGTGATTTACAACATGTGTACGGGTGTCAACGCATCACACGTTTTTCTTTGCAATAATTTGTACAGGATCGATCGGCTTCGGTCAACCACAGGTTCCGGATTCGTCTGATAATCCGTGTACAGTGCGCATTGCATATTGCATCATCAAAATGACGTCAACTTGAAATTCTGTCGGGACAGCACCCATAGTGGAGTTGCACACTCTGGGAACCCCGGGTTATGTACTCTTGGTACTACGTATGGTCAGGCAGGGGCCTAGGGCCTAGGGGCCGTAGATCACACAGCTCAGCAGCAGATCAGACAAGCAGGCAGGGGCCGTAGATCACACAGCTCAGACAAGCAGGCAGGGGCCGTAGATCACACAGCTCAGACAAGCAGGCATGGGCCGTAGATCACACAGCTCAGACAAGCAGGCATGGGCCGTAGATCACCATGATCACACAGCTCAGAAACGGTATCGCGAACCCGGTTTGAGATGTCTGTGTAAGGATGCGCATACAGATGGGTGGTCAGGTAGCCACCGTTAAACTTTCTGCACGTTATCATGCCAATATTACAAAAAAAATAACTTTTTTGGTCTTTAAACTTTACCGTTTTACAGTACTCGGCACGCACACAGTTCCCAGGCTTTTCTCAATTCAGTACAGTGGTCCCTCTATAATCCGGCACCATTTGTGCCACGGAAATCTGCTGGATTAGGGAGGGTGCTGGATTAACAAATCTGATCTACTGCTGCAATGTGCATGAAGAGGACATTTGGCTACTGAAAATTGTGCTGGTTTATCGAGGGTGCTGGATTATAAAGTGCCGGATTAGAGAGGGACGACTGTACCATGATTGGGAGTACGTTGTACATGTAATGCAACAGCTCGAAATGGATCAGGGAGTCGTAAAATACCGGTATTTTACTACTGCCTGATCTGATGTGGATGCATCACTGCAGCGCCCGGCTTGTATCCACATACACACCCCGCCACAGGGTATGGTACTTATTGTTTTGCTAAGGGGTCGTCGCAAAAGTTTTCTGTCGTCCCTGAAACGAACATCGTTCATTTCGTACTCAGACCCCCTCCCTCCCTCTGAAACGAACGCAGTTTGCTACGCTGGACGACGAAAATCGCATGCATGTACATGTCATATGTACAGTGTCGGTCGACTTGCGATTTTGGCTCGCACCCCCCCCCCCCCCCAAATGAGTCATGCTTCAGGGACGAAAAAACTTTTGCGACGACCCTAAAGCAGCCTGGTGCCCTGCGTTGCTGCACTGTTCACTTCACAAGCAAGCTGCACAGATACCCGTGTTCCCGAGGAACTGAGCGTTGAAAAGTAATTTGGGCAGACCACCTATCGTCAATCAGAAATCTGCAGAGAGAGGAATGGAGAGATACAGATTGAGCTAGGTGAGGCTGTTTACTACGCTACTGCGGCTCTTGAAACTACACAGCAAGCCCACCGCCCTACACAAGCGTACAGCAGGAGGGAGTAAGACTTGGGGGACAGGATCTTCCTGCTGAAAAGAAGAAGTAAGGATTCAGAAATGTAAATCATTAAAATATGCTTCTCTGACCTTCGGACTTGCGTAAAATTGGCAAAGGTCGTAAATCATTAAAAAAATGCTTCTCCGACCTTCGGACAGGGCGTAAACTTGGCGAAGGTGGCCCGCTGCGAAGGGATAAGAGATGTATAGGTAACTGTCGGGACGAGTTCAACATGCCACAATTACTAGCGTAATATGCTACCTCTGCTGTTATGGGGCTGGGCGCGGAAAGGGAATACTTCAAAATAGGAAAGTAATGCTTTAAGTGGACTGAGCCAAGTCGATATGGTTGGCAGTGGGTGCATGCACGTGTGTGTATGTGCGTGAGCTTGTGTGTCTATGTGTCTATGTGTATGTGTGTAGGTGTGTGTGTGTGCGCGCGCGCGTGTGTGTGTGTGTGTGTGTGTGTGTGTGTGTGTGTGCGTGATTTCAGAGGTGCCTGCACACCACAAGTCCATATAATTATGTCAGAATGGGATGTGGGGAGGAGCAGAAGGCAGCCAGACGGGGCGAGTGCGTCTCCGAGCATAATGGCCCTTCACCAAACGAAGCTAATAAAAAAACAGCGGGAGTCTTTTCGGGAGAGTAAGTGTTAGCTGGCGATAGAATTCCAGCACTGAGATAACAAGGAGCGAGGAGCCGCTGCTGCCTCAAATTGGTGCCACTGCACTAGATGTGCACTCGGTGCACTGTGGATGTGCTGTGAGCTGCGCCGTCCGCCGTTGGGGAGTGCTCTTGCTCTGTGTTACGTAGCCTCTTTCCGCGCGGAGAGCCTTTCGGGAACGGATTTGCCATCGGGGCGACAGTGTCGTTCGCGAACGCATGCGCTCAGCCGTCGCTTTCACTCGCCCTGTTCCCGCGTGCAGCCAGCGGGGTGGGCGCGAGGCGAATCGTAACGCGGTCGTAGCTCGGGGGCAGAGACGCTGCTCCACCGGCCTCGCCTTCTCTCCCGTTGGCCGCGAGAAGGGTGCCGCGAAGAGGGCCGTCGTACGGGCTCGTGTTGGGCGCTTCAAAGCCGCTGTCGGTGGTGTTGAGGCTGGAGGCGGACGTGTCGAAGAACAGCGGCGACAGGCAAAAGTCGTCGCTCTGCATCTGCGTGGGACACGTGCCCATGGTCCGTACGGGGTCGGGAAGACGGCGCGCTTTGCCGCCGTCAAAGAACGAGGCCGGCGAGCTCTGGCTCGTGATGGCCGTCTCGTGACCGTCGTTGAAGAACACAAACTCGCTGGCGTACAGGCAGTGCGAGCTGGTCGGCCGATGGCGGCCAACGTCCTCGCCGGGTGGCGACTCGGTCCAGTCGTGGCAGGTGTGCTGAGTGGTCTCCTCCGTGAACTCGTCGTGATCAAACGCGTCGCCAGCGGTCGGCGTGTGCCTGAGCAGGTTCGGTCGACCCATGTCCGTGAAGTTCAGGTAGGAGAGGTTGCTCATGCGCTCACCGATGCCGCTGTCAATCTCGCCGGGCTGCGTGTAGGGGACTTTCGTCGCGGCCATGGCGGCATCGCCGGAGTCGATGCTCGCGCGGGTCTTGAGCTCCTCGCTGCTGTTCGTCCGCCAGCTGGTCGTGTCCGACATCAGGGCGGCAGGCGTTCGGTGCTTCGGCAGCGGTGTACCCAAAGCCAGGCCACCGCTAGGTAGTGTGACATGGTTCAGGCTGCTGTTGCTGTTGCTGTTGCTGCGACGCCCGCCAACGCAATGTATCGCCATGTTGTGCGCAGAGTGGCTGCGACGGAAGGAGAATGCCGACAGGTAGCTGGCGTTGGAGCGACGGCTGCCGCGGCTCACCCGACTGGCAATGCTATTGCCGCTGATGTTCTTGCTGGCGGTGGTGGTGCGCCGACAGAATATGGCGCGCATGGTGCGTACCCAGCGGCGACGAATCTCTGTGGCCGTGGCCATGTTTAGCAGGAACACCATCAGGCCCTGGAAGGCGTTGAGCACGGTGAAGATGTACTGGAGCGCGACCGACTCGACGGTGAGGACCACGACGCCGACGAGCCAGGTGCCGCCCACGAGCACGGTGAGCGAGAGGATTATGCGCATGCGAGAGAGCGGCGACATCTCGCGCCGCGACTTCATCATCAGATTCTTGGAGACGAGCAGGAGCACGCTTCCGTTGAAGAGCAGCATAATGGCCAGCGGAGCTATGAAACCGCTGTACATATACACCGGCTTGGAGAACCAGCAGCTGTGCAACACAACGCCCCGACAAAACGACACACACGTAGGTTCGCGCGTGCACACACGCACACATGCATGCATACATATGCACGCGCACACACATACATGCATGCATGCACACACCCGCGCACACCCACACACACATGTATGCACACACACAAATACACACACACATGCACACGCATACATGTACACGAGCCGCATAGAAAGCAATGAGCTTGACAGCGCGCCTCTAGCGCTTAGACAGCCTAGAGCATCAATGCCACCAAGCTGCGCAGAAGCCTATTGCCGATTGCCAAATATGGATTCTACACTCACCGTACCTCAGCTTACCGGACACGGAAGTAATGGGCACTTCAGTCAACCGGAAACCCTCTAGCCCAGTTTTAGTGGATATATCACTACTCTTTTGTTTACTTTAGGGGTCGTAGCAAAGGTTTTTCGTCGTCCCTGAAACGAACATCGTTCGTTTCGTACTCGGACCCCTCCCCTCCTTCTGAAGCGAACGCAGCTTGCTACGCTGGGCGACGAAAATCGCATGCATGTACATGTACATACGTACAGTGTCGATTGACGTGCGATTTTAGCTCGCATCCCCCCCCCCCCCCAACGAATGATGTTCGTTTCAGAGACGACAAAAAGCTTTTCACGACGACCCCTATATAGTGGACATAGTGATACATCGCATGCCGTGTCTCTGACCTTTCCTCAACAAATCGCTCTGGATTCGGAGTTACGCACATTTCAACGTTACGGGCGGTGGCCGGTCCTGGACCGCCCGGGTAAACGAGAGGCATTCATACTGCAGTGTACTGGATAGTGCATGTAAGCATTTAAATTGACTTTTGTATTTCAAAGTAGTTTATTGAATTTGTTTGATGACGTGTGCAATTCATTTTGCCCGTACAACAGGTTTTATTATTGTCAAAGCATGTGAATACACGGTGACCAGGCATGCGCTGTTCAATACCCTGTTCAACACAACAACCACGCCCCCCCCCCCCCCCCCCCAGATGGCCACGAACACATATTGCTGGCACAAGCTATTTCATTGCACACAGCGGGATTGCAGAGGGAACAGCATACAGTACTGTGTATTAGCAGAAATATTCGTCTGGATTTTAGTGTCGTCTTTTTCGTCCAAGGAGCTTTTTTAAACAAATAAATTTCACGGTTGGCGTGAGACTCGGCTGGAAGCCGAGTTTTTCCGCATCCGCCGTGGGAACGCCACCACCCTCTTGGATCAAGGCGCAGATGCAGCGCCTAAACGGTGGGAGGTGAGCAGATCAGACCCACCACCAAGCGGTCAAAAACCGAAATCCCATTAGCTGCATCCACGTTACCCTCGTGCCAGGCCACGAGTTCCCGAGCTTTTGGACTAAATTAAATGCCAGACTAACGTCGGTTTGGCGAGCTTTTCAGTACACTTTTATGGTCCATGGACTGGAGTTTCAACTGGACAAACTCCCTTTCTTCGGAGTTGGACGAAATTATTGACCAACTAAAATTTAAGAACTCAGCTGGTGAGCCAAGGAAAACTTTTGTAACAATTTGTGCCCACAATTTCCATATTACAACTAAAATTTCTGCCTGTAGAGTACGTACAAGCTATCGTAGTCGTAGGCTTCCATTTCGGACACCGACGCCGTCACCAACACCACCAGAAGCGGCGCAGCTGAACAGGGGAAAAGAAAGAAAAAAGAAGGAGAGCCAGAAGATCAGTTGCGGGACTGCACGCTAGACCTCTCACTGTTCAGCCCTGCGGAACAACCCAAACAGGACAGGACCGGAACCGGTCCGGTTGGTCAGGTTGTTACCGGACCAACCTTTCGGCCATCAGCTCATGTTTCCTGCTGTAGAGGGCACGTGTACCCATCATATCATACACAAAAGTATGAACGACCAGGACACTACTGGACCAATCAAAAACTATAGCTTCCGGCGGTCCTGCAGGAGGAAATGGATGAGTTGTACATGCATGTGGGCTGGGCTGGGTTGATTTCTGTTATCCTTCAAGGAAGTAGAAGCAGAGGCTGAAGTCCATTTCGAAAAATGTAGATGCATGGTAGTGTAAAACTCGGATGGAAAGCCAGGGATTAAATCTAAAAGGAAAGGACCAAATAGTAACATGTTATCCGTAGTTTCTGTCCAACACTAACAGTTACAAGCAAAATGTTGTGTGGTCAGAAGGTGCAACAGCTAGCACAATGCTGACGGATGTGATACTGACATGGTATTGTTGAAATATTTCCAATTTGGTTGGAGCTTTTTGAGATTTCTTTTCGGAATATTGCTCAGGTCCTTCCCCCGATTACTCTCATAATAGATTTTTAAGCGATCGGATAGCAAACGCCCGACTTAGAAATTTGCATGCACAAAGTGATCACAGATTTTATGTGGTATGGATGCGGGCCTAACGTTTTTTTTTTTTTTTTTTTTTAAATCAAGTGTCTATATTATAATTTTTTGAAACGCACTGTAGGCTAGGGGATACCAAAGAGCAAGCAGTCTACCTGTGGCCAGGGCAGAAATACAGTCTCAGCTCTTGCTACCGTATACGCAGAAATATTCGTCTGGAATTTAATATAGCTACAATGCTGGAATTTAATTTCGTCTTTTTCATCCAAGGAGCGCTGGGACTAGATTAAATGCCGGACGAATGTCGATTTGTCCAGCTTTTCAATGCACTCTTATGATCTGTGGACGAAGCTTACAACCGGACGAACTCCCTTTCTTTAGAGTTGGACGAAATTATTGACCCACGAAATTTTCTGCCCGTACAGTATCACATGCGCTGAGAAACATTCCTCCCCATCCCCCTTGACTTCATGAACAGGCGGTGCAGAGCTGTTATTGCAGGGTTATCCATTAGCACAACCCCCCAACTGGGCATGCATGTACACTATTTGAACACATGCACAGACGCACCCACACACGCGCACACCCACCCACATACTTGCATGTACCCCCACCCACCCAGACACACAGAAGCACCCCCCCCCCCCCCCTCTGCACCCACACATGCACACCATGGACACCCACACCCCCCCCCCCTCCCTGCACCCACAAACACCCCTCCCTCCCTCCCCCCCCCCCCCCCCGCACCCACAAACACCCCTCTCTCCCCCCCCCCCCCCCCCTGCACCCACACACTTGCATGTACACGCACCCACACAGACACACAGAAGCACCCCCCCCCCCCCCCCACACACACACACAACCAGGCCGCATCTTACTGATGCACATCCAGGCAAACTTCTGCATGAAGCTGTGATCCGTGCCAAACACCACCACCAGGTGCTTATACACCAGTGCTGCCTGCGCCATCATCCAACCAAACGCCGACAGCAGAGAGAGATGGAGAAGAAGGCCGAGGACTTGGCAGGAGAACACCGACAGGCGAGCGTGGTGGACGGCGATGATGGTGAAGAAGAGGCAGGCCAAGAGCAGGGCTATCGACATGATTGTCATCAGGCGGAAGTGAAGACGTCCACGCAGCTCCCTGGGAACAGAAACACACGAACATACATACACACGCAAATGCGCGCGCACACACACACACACACACACACACACACACACAAATGCCCACACACACACACACACACACACACACACACACACACACACACACACACACAGCACCAGCAAGAGACAACACGGTTGAAGTGCTGAGGAGACACCAGTATCACATGGCATGTCACATCAACATTATCAGCAACAGGAGCAGCATCGTCAACAACAGGAGCAGCACCGTCAACAACAGGAGCAGCAACATCAGCAAACACTCGCCATGAACATTGGCAGTGGGAACAAGACAACGCCAGGATAGACCTACTTGAGAACAATCCCCGACAAGGCGGTAAGTGCCAATCCGATCATGGACATTACACAGCCAATGATTGTCACAGTCCTCAGAACACGCCCGTGAACTGTTCCTTGCACCGCGGACGAAGACGGGTTGCGCTGTGCAGACACACACACACACACATAGACGCACACACACACACATGCACACATACACACACACACACACACATGCACACACACACGTGCACGCACGCACGCACACACACACACACACACATACGACACAGCAACGGAAGAGAAACAGGTCATACACGTTGCCCGGAAACCCCCCAAACGTTCCAAACGTACGGTAATGTGCAACGTTTTTGAGCGTTTTCGTCAGTAGGGCACGCGAGATCGATCTGTAGCCTTAGCCAGGGTCTCCGGTATGCCCTGCATGCACTGGCTATACATACACTGGCTATGCATGCACTGGCTATACATGCACTGGCAATGCATGCACTGGCAATGCATGCACTGGCAATGCATGCACTGGCAATGCATGCACTGGCTATACATGCACTGGCAATGCATGCACTGGCAATGCATGCACTGGCAATGCATGCACTGGCAATGCATGCACTGGCAATGCATGCACTGGCAATACATGCACTGGCAATGCATGCACTGGCAATGCTTGCACTGGCAATGCTTGCACTGGCAATGCTTGCACTGGCAATGCTTGCACTGGCAATGGTTGCACTGGCAATGCATGCACTGGCAATGCATGCACTGGCAATGCATGCACTGGCAATGCATGCACTGGCAATACATGCACTGGCAATGCTTGCACTGGCAATGCATTCACTGGCAATGCATGCACTGGCAATGCTTGCACTGGCAATGCATGCACTGGCAATGCTTGCACTGGCAATGCTTGCACTGGCAATGCTTGCACTGGCAATGCTTGCACTGGCAATGGTTGCACTGGCAATGGTTGCACTGGCAATGCATGCACTGGCAATGCTTGCACTGGCAATAGATGTGCGTGGTGCATAGTTTACATGGTACACGAGCAGTGCATGTTTTGCATAGGCATGCAGTTCAGCTCGACATGCGACAGTGCACGGATACGTGACCGGTGCATGCAGCATGCTGCACGCGTCACTCGCCGATTGCATGCAGTAGATACTGAAGTACGAGACATGTCGTGTGAGAGAAAGGCACCATGTACCAGCGCATGCATGCAGTGGTCTGTGCGTGGCGAACATAAAAGCAAGATCAACATGCGTCAATCACGTCGTACTATAGTTCGTTTCAAAAGTCCAGACTTCTGGTTTCAAAAAACCGTTAGGCCTGTATCTATGCCACATAAATCTGTGATCACTTTGTGCATAAAGTTTTCGAAATTGGGCATCTGTTATCCAATCGCTTAGAAATTTACATGAGAAAAACTGCGTGAGCTGCCTGAGCAATATTCCGAAGAAATTTCTCAAAAAGCTCAAACCAAATTTGAATTATTCGAAAAAGTCTAGAGGTCTATACTTTTAAAATGCACTATAGTACCTTGTCGTGTACATGTATCACGCTTTTCAGTTCTGCACGGAAGATTTTCGCTGCCAGAAGTAGTTTGTTGTGTTGTTGTTTGTGCCTGGATCATGTCGAAACGAAAGAGGATTTTGCTGGACCTCTTCTTTTTCTTCTGAATCATCTGGATCGGAGAAACGAGCGAGGAATGCGGAGTTTCATTCCGCTGCCAAAGTGCCTAGTGCATCCTGCTCGGACACAGCCACTGCGACTCTGCAAAGTCCTAGCGGATCCAATACAGTTCCGATTACTAGCAGCGGTAGTACTAGCGGTGGTGACTTCGAGTTCGAGTACTCTTCCTCCTGTGGTTCTCCAACGTTGCCTGCAGATGCTGACGAGAGTTCACGTTTGGCAGCAGCGTCTGCGGCACACCCGATTGGAGAAAGTTGTCCGTCCGTCACGAACGATGCTGGGAGATTGTCCATCTGCAATATTCAGAAGCTCTCCGATTCCGATAAGCACTGGCTCCTGCTCAAGACCCGGATGAAAAGTTTGTCTTTCCGTCGAAGGCGGAATATGGGAAAACACGATCGTTGCAGCATTCTTGGCTGCGTGAGTACAGCTGGCTTACCTATTTGCTTTCTGCTGTCGGTGGGTGCACTGTTCCGTGCCTCAATTTCAACAAGCGTGTCCAGACATACGGACAGCTTGTGAATTCTGCTCTCACCAACATGACTAGTGCGAAACAAACGCTGCGAGAGCACAGCCAGTTGACTCGCCATCGAAATGCACCGGAAGAAGCAGCGGTGTTTCTTCGTCAGCAGGAAGAGGGCCAGTTGTTAGTGGAGCAGCAGATGCAGTCGCAAGCAGCCAGAACCATTGAACGGAACAGGAAGATTCTTGGTTCCGTCTTGGAATGCATTGCGTTTTGCGGGAAGCAAACTATTCCATTGCGTGGGTATCGGAACGAGAGCGCAACTATTGAGGACGGTTTGCTTTGTGACCTGTCTGGCAGTCCAGGGCAATTTCCAGGCACTCCTGCAGTTCCGGATGGAGGCTGGTGATGAAGTTCTGCAGCAGCACTTTTCGACAGCTGCCAAGAATGCCCAGTACAGGTCACCCCGGATCCAGAATGACCTTATTGGAGCATGTTGCCAATGGATCCAGCAGCGCATCATTGCTGACGTGAAGAAGTCCAAGTTCTTCTCTGTCTGCGCAGATGAAGCAGCAGGTGCATCAAACAAGGAGCAATTGCCACTAGTATTACGGTCTGTGGACACCGGCGGAGCCATCCGGGAAGAGCTGATTGAGTTTGTTCTTTGCGATACCGGCACCACTGGCGAAGCAATTGCTGGCAAGATACTTGCCAGTCTGGACAAGCTTGGACTGGACTGCACAAGCCTACGTGGACAAGGGTACGGCAGCGCAGGGAACAAGGCAGGGCGTGCCCCGGGCACAGTAGCACGCATCCTGGAGCAGTGTCCATCGGCGTACTACACTCCATGCGCTGCGGTGCGCATGCCATGAGCCTTTGTGACTTTGTGTAGTCAACGCACGTGGAACTCAGGCTTTGCGCGTACGAGTCATTCGCAGAGCTCCTGCCAGTCGGCATTGCCATATTCGAGAAGATTACAACTGGCCAAGGATGGAACGTCGTGTCCACCTGAAAAGCCAGCAGCCTGTTGCCCCTATTCGGAAATTCCCGCTTATCCATGCCGTTGTTGCTACCAAGCATGGTCTAGCATTTGTCAACGGTCTCATGACATCCCTGCAGGGTCGTGCACAACACATTGTTCGTGCCCATGGAGAAATGTCTGCGGTGACAAAGGCCATCGAGACAGCCCGCAGCACAGTTGCAACGGTACACACGAAGTGGTGTAGCGAAGCAGTGGCACTGGCAGACAGCATTGATGCGGACGAGCCAGCTCTTCCTCGGAACTGTGGACGCCAACAGAACCGGGCCAACAATCCAG